CAAAATTGTTGTTTAAAAAACAAATAAAAATTATTGACATACACACACACACACACACACACACACACACACACACACACACACACAAAGATTCTGGAGCCTGTTTTATCTAGCATGCAAGTACAAAGATGTTTCTGAATGCCTGACTGTACCACATGGGTGGACTATTCATAGCTAGCACAAACAGAAACAACCTGATTGGCAGCAGCCAGCATTTACCCTATGTAGACATGGTCTGCTCCTTTGGCAGCCTGAGATTAGCTGAAGGTTGATAGCTATGATTTGCTTGTACACATTTGCTTAGTTACAGAGTATATGCTGAAGTTACAACTCTTGTATATCAGGTTAGAAATCAATTCATGATATGCAAAGGCAAATGTTATCATTGGAGTATGGAAAGAGATTTTGCCAGACCTATCAAGTTCATACCGTTCTCTAAAGAAAACACCCTTTGGTCTATAGATCATATAAGGATGATGACACTAAGTATCTCAGGTCAATTTATCTCCCCATCTGAGAAATCAAAATTGAAAACGTATCTCCTGTTGGGAGGGTACGTGTACATCTGAATACGTATAAGAAGTTTATAAAAGTTAGGAAACAATGACAGTAGAGAGTAAGAATGCATAGAAAATGGTGATACAGAGTTTCAGCTTTCATCAAAAAAATATGTTTCTGATATTCTAAGACATGATTTTGAGAAACACAATACAGCTTGAGTTCACAAAAACAATGACCTTGATATTTTAAAAACCTCTACCTGTGACAAATGCTGCTGTTGTGCTAAATTAGAGGAAACATTCAGGAATAAAAAATTGATTTAGGACTAGAAGAATGGCTTAAGCACCCACTATCAGCTAAAAGCTAGTTCTACATATAGCACACGTGTATTGATTAAAATATTTTTCTTACTAAAGAAAAACATAAAGTTGAAAGCTGCTGGCTCACGCCTGGAATCTTAGCTACTCAGGAGGCTGAGTAGCTTCCAGGTTTGAAGCCAGCTGGGGCAGAAAAGTCCCTGTGAGACTCTTATCTCCAATTAACCACTCAAAAATCGGAAGTGGTACTGTGACTCAAAGTGGTAGAGCACTAGCGTTGAGCAAAAGAGCCCAGGGATAGCAACTAGGCCCTAAGTTCCAGCCCCATGACTAACAAAAGGAGGAGGAGGAGGAGGTGGAAGAGGGGGAGGAAGAGG